GCTGTCTATTGTTACCGGGACAAACGGTTCCTGGGTTAGTCATTTGCCGATTGAGTGACATTGTGTGTGCTTTAATAAGGGCGGGACTGCTCTAACCTATGTCCATGCCGTACGCTATTGCCGCAAAAGTCTTGGATGGCTGCTGGATTGACTGAAAAGGCTCCGTGTCCTCGTATGGCTACAGATGTGTATTCACACAGTACGATTCAAGAAAGTTACTCTTACACAAAGGCTGCGGGGGAATTTATTCAGTCCGCTCCATGAGCATGCGTCAGCGACAGGGGACCAAACAGCTATGGTGAAAAATCGATAGCCACGGCGTGCTCTCATAACAGCGGCGTGGAGTTGCACTCGATGGCCTTTTTGTAAGATGAGTAATCGTGGGAATGGGCGTATACCCAACAGTTAGGTACCTTCAACTGTATCCGGCGCACATGTTTGTTTGCGCCGATAGGATCTCAAGTATTTCATGAGCATTTTCCAGAACTCTCAGTTAGCTGGTTCACTGGCACCAGGACCATACCAACAGGAAGGCTGTCTGTCTTTTTACTCGAACTTTTGGTTCTTGCGGAAATTCGGTGCGGATACTGCTTCGGATTAAAGTGGTCTGAGTCAGCATGATAATTGGCCCTGCGTTAAAATTCAGCAAGGTTAAATATTCCCCTGTCTTAACCCTAACATAAAACGAAAGTGTAACCTTGATCGTAGCCCTAGCCCTATTTAAGAACCTTACAGATAACCCGGATCCTAAACCTTAACCTTTAACATAATCCTGAGCCTAACCCCAACTCTGACCTTAATTCCAGCTTTCAATCCAACCCTAAACCTAAATGAATTGGCGAACATACGTTTGAGAAGAAGACGACTCGATCGCTGGGACAATGCGTTTATTCGCCTGATGTTTCGACATCCGTCGCGGATTCATCATCAGAGACATGAACATACGTTTGTTTTCGATAAATTCTCGTCAAGCCTTTACAGTTATATGATAATTAAGCAAATAAACTCTGCGGGTTGGTATAAAAAGAATGCGGTTGTCAGAGGAGGTGGGGGGGGGAGGAATCGGGTTCAAAATCTGATCAGCGTTAGGGGGACTGGTAGCCGTGCGAGGTGATAAGCTGCTGGCTGTTGGAATAGTGGCTTTTGGCCTTGGTAACTGCGGCGCCGCGACGAAGTTCTTTTGGGCGCACACGACCGGTCGGCGTAGCCTGATGGCGGCCGCTTCTGCCG